GTAAATATAGTAACAGCAAAATCAACTTCAGGTCATAAAACAAAATAAGTGTTTACTTTTGCAAGTATTTTGTTTAGTCTCTTATACAAGTTCTTGAATTAAACCTCTATATAAAGGCATTCTAATTTGTGGAATCTCATGACTGGATTCTTTTACAATTGGCTTATAATGAAACTGGCATTCTTTTTGGAGAATTGCCTTTTTTGTAGCTCTGACAAAACAAAATTGTCAGACATTTGTATTTCAGAAACTGCTAGTAACTAATAGAACTGTAGTCCTGCTTGACCACATTGCATCTGATTAGGTGGTACTAATTTTACAGTTAAGTTGTCTTTACATCTGAATTCCCTGTTACTGAGTTCACTTTTTTAAATCAAATGCATGCTTGAAGAACTTAACAATTAAATGCATAAGAGGAGTAAGTACTGAAGACTTTAATGGAATTTATTGTATTACAGATTTTCTGTCCATTCATAATTTTAAGTATTGTCTCTCTAGGCTCTCTTCTTTTCTTTAGCACTTAAGCATAGGCTGCTGAAGCTGTAGAGTATAAGTTCAAGTAAGGAAATCAGCTGATATCACCATCATTGCTTTGGCCTCTGCAGTCATTAGAAGGGTTCATTTGAGCTCTTTCTAATCCAACCTAAGTGGAAACTGCATTACCTTAAAAACCCAAACAGAAATTTTATATTAATCTAACTAACTGCCTAAGCACTAGCACTTAACCTCTACTCCTTTGGCTGAATTATGTCCTCTACTTGCAAAATTATAAGCTTTCCAAAAGGTAGTATCTTTAAATCTTACAATTAATTCAAAAAAAGATACCAGACTGTGCCTAGTGATTGCTCCATGAGTGGAGATAGAATTTAGACTTGGGGGAGACTTAAAAGTAGACGAACAGAAATTGGGATATTTGTGCAATTGAAATGCTTCTAGCTTAGTTTTAAAATTAGTTTGGACAGCAAAAAATGAAGACTAGAAATACATCGGTTAGGAAATTAAGAACTAGTGATATCAAATTAATTGAGGTGACTTGGGATTGCATCTTTTGTTTTAAGAAGTACTGTTCTAGTATAAGCTTTTTCCATTTGAATTCATCATTCATTTAAGCAACTATATTTTTGAAAATTTTCTATTTTGAATTTAGGACTTGATAAAATCGAATTTCTTCAGAGGCATGAAAACCAAGAGATCTACCAAAAGGCTTTTGAACTCATAGAACATTATTTTGGTGTTGAAGAAGAGGACTCTAGTATTGCACCTCAGGTGGATGAAAGTCAGCAGCAGTTTGTGTTTCAACAGCAGGAGGCTCCAATGGAGGGGTTTCAGCTCTAAACTACTGAAGTGAATATAAGCATAAAATTTAAACACTTGTATGGTTTGGGTTTTTTTTTTCTCAGAGGTCTTTTCTTTATGGCCAAAGTTAGAGGAAAAGCAGAATATGTTTTACAGAAATAGATGAAGAAACAGCTCATGCACTTTTATATATTGTGTTAGAGACAACTGTTCTCTGTTTTGTATTTGTTTTCTTCATTATCTCTTATGTACAGAAAAAAACTGTGAGTAATCATGTCTAAGAGCATTAAATGTGATTTAACAAGAACTGTTTAGCTAAGACTTGGTAGGATTTTAGGTAGTAGTTCTGAATTTTTTCATGTAGTCTCAAACTTCATATCAGCAATACAGTTACTGACAGTTGAAGTTTTGGCAGTAGGCTTGACTTGCCCAGTTTCTATCAAATCTACCTCTTGTATTGAAGCAGAAATATTGCTTCAGAACTAAGGCATGAAATAAAGATGAGCTTGTAAGAAGCTGAATTGGAATGTGAAAAATATTTATTTAAATTGTGAAACTTTTATGCATTACTTACTTTACAACACACTGTTGAAATTTATTTATAAAATGTATTTAAAGACATAATAGATATACATATATAATGCTAATTACCTAATATAATATTGAATATATGAAAAAGTACTTTCTGAGTTACGTGGGAAGAGGACTATTTCAGAGGTTTTCAAATTGGAATCAGCAGAGACCTTGCTGGTCATTAGATGTTGGCTCTGTAATGAAAGCTGCTAAATGGCATTACAAGTCAGCCACAACTGCAGTACTTTGCAGTGGAAGCAGCCGCTGCAGTTACCACAAGAAAGCTGCAATTAGGACTGACAGAAGGGTGATGTGCACCAATCACCACGCTGATGTTTTAGAGCTGTCTTCTGTCAAGATGTGGTAACATCACTTTAGTTTGAGAAACATTGCAATGTTTGCCTTTTAGTACAATAGCTTCTTAAAAGTTTAGACAGTAGGTGTTGTTTTTTGACCAAGTATGCTACTGCCACTTGAATTGTTCCTTAGGTTAATGAATTTGGTTTGCTTTTGGTAAGACGATAGAAATACTGCAGTGAAAAATGAATAGTGAATCACACCAGTTGAAGGAAAAGTTTGTTGTACTGTAAATAGCATTAAGTATGTGGACACCAAAACTAACTAGAAGTTACCGTCATCTAAGTATTTAGGTTCTACAATATACAGTGTTTGCTGTTAAACACTAAAAGATACAGAACTCTAATATTTACGTTAACAGTTTTGAGTACAGAAAAATGTATGCTCTGCTTTGACTTGCATATAGGTAGTGTTTCTGGTGTATTAGTAGTATATCTCATTTGGAGAAATTAATACTTTGGGTTAACTCTGAAGTATTGCTATTTTTTATTACCTGTAATTAATGTATTAACATCAAACTCCTGGGTTAAGTGAAATCTGTGACATATGAGAGCATTTCATGCTTCATAAAAGGCTGCAATTCTAACTTCAAGTCACTTACCCATGGCACTGTGCTTGTCACTAAATAATATTTTAATGCACTGAAAAATACAGGTTAAAGGTGGTATCATTTACAGTACCATTTTATATTTAGAATTTTTTTTACATGCAAGTTAAGATTCTAAGATGTTTCACTTTGATGTTACAGCAATATATTCTATATTGTAATTGAATGTGGGACTTCAAGTGGATTTTCTAAATTAATGGTCAGTTTTGACTAAGGTATAAATGGGAGCGAAGCAACCTCCCTTTGAGGTCTTTTTAGTGGAAGATAGAAGTGTAAGAAGTGTATATAGGAGTGCTGTTACTTTATGAACTCTGAATAATGAGATATTTTAGCAAATGACACTTTAAACCTAGATTTGTACAGCATACAACAGTTTTGAATAGTGTGATAATATTGAGTACAGCTGCCAAATTTTCATATAATGTTAGGTGATTGTACTTATGCCCTTTTTACTCTCATAGTTTTAGGTTTTCATACACCAGCCCTCATTCTTTCTCATGATCTCCCAACTGCACATCCATCACAGAACAGGGTAACAATCATGGAAATCTACCAAGGTTACTAGCAAATGCTGAATTTCAGTGTTCTAGTGTAAGAGAAATATTCAGGTAACAGGGTATTCCTTTGTTTCTAAGAACCTTGTTTTGATAACAACCAGTTGTGCCTGCTTTTTATTTGGAGAACCCTGTAAAACTACATTTATAAACCTCTCTTATTTAAACCAAATCTCAACTATGAAAATCTTAATTGAAAGACTTGAAAATAAAGAAAAGAGGGGAGATTTAAAGTGTTACATTTGTTTTGAAAGAATGTTTTCAGTTGTGTGGATATATATTCTATCTTGTGGACGGTTAGTGACTGCACTTTACACATTTAGACAAACTATATTTCATGCCTCTGATAGATTTAAATGGAATAGTTTGAAAGGGGACTAAAATTGATGGACTTAGGGTGATGAAAATCTTTATTTAAACTCAACATTTGGTTTACTCTGATATTGTTAAAAAATAATAATGAAAATTGTTTAAAGGATGGTCTGTCCTATTTTATCACTGGGTTTATATCATGCTTTGTTAGAAGCACATAAATGAACAAAATAAAACCAGAGATTATGACTTAAGGCCAGCTCCGGTGTACTCATTTGCAGGTAGGGGCATGATTATGATGATACCTAAAGAGATGAAACTAGTATGGAGAGGGAAACAAAACTGTGATATGAAAATCTCTAAGTTTGGCATTTTATATGCAATCTGAAGTGCCCCATCAGTTACAAAGTCTTTTTAAAAATACAGGGGTTTGGGTTTAATTAAAAGGGTACCATTTGTTCTGCTTAAATGTGAATACTAACTAGCTAATCTATGCAATTATGCAGAGCATAAGATTTTTTTTTATTAGTTCCCTACTCTTGTTACACTGAATCATATCTAATTTTTTCATCATTGCACTTTCATCTGAGGATTGGTTCATACAGCTTTTTAATTTTCTAGTATTTGCTTTACACACTGTTCATAGCAGCAATCAGAAAATAGTAATAATGTTGGAACAGAAATGTTTGCTGTAGAACAAGTTTGCAACTGGAAACTATTTATTGTTGGGCCTGTCTTAAAAAAAATAGTAAAGATGCACTATTGTCTTTCCTCCATGGTTAATCTCAGTAGGTTTGAATTTATTAAATTGTACAGCTGAGGATTTTTGTTATAAGTCTGCAAATTGATACGTGGACTTAAACTGTGACCTCAAGATTTCCCTGAAATCTGGAATGAGGAATTCTAGTTACTTATGGCACAATGTCTTACATATATAATGTCAGAAATCTAAATTACCTGTATTAACTTCAGACAGTAATAGTGCATCTTTAAGTCCAGGCCAAAGGCCCATTACTGTAACAGAACACATATAAGTAGTATGCAATATTATGGAATGTTAAATCTCCAAATACCATGCAGAAACCAATAAAACCTATTTTACAGATGTTTACTGTATTTATTTAGTGATTCAGTAAGTGTTGCTTCTTAAAGCTAAAAAATGCAAATACCATTTTGAATACAGCATTGATGCCAATGAGTTCCAAGTGGCAATTTGTGCACTGAAAAACTGCGCTGTCACCAGACAGAAAACTCCTTGGGTGTAAATATTTTGTGGTTATCTAACCAAAAGTATCTGACATTCTTAGGAAACTACCTCATCCCCTTTAAAACTAATTACTGCTTTTAATCATATGCAAAACATTCTAAACAGCTTTAATTATATGCAACAAATATCCTGAATATCTTCCTAATGAAAGAGCCATTCGCTTTCTTTTTGTGATGCTGTAGCTGCCCTTACTGGCTCTAGGGTATGGATACTACAGTTGTCCATTTAGGGGTAAAGCTCACTAATAGCTCTCAGCAGCAGTTAATTTTGCTCTTCCAAGGACATTCAGATTTCAGATGAAGTTACTTGGTCTTCGCCTCCGCGGCCAGCGCAGCCTCCTCCCGCCACTTGGCCTTCTTTGCCAGGTTCAGGCTCGTTAAGGACTCATGGCGTGAGGCAGCCTGAGGAAGTAACAGCGTAGGAGTAAGGGTGCACCCAGGGAAAGCTCCCAGCCTCAGGAATGGGCAACAGCCACTTAGGGTGGTGGGGTGTGACAAAGACTACATTAGCTAAAGCTTGAGCAGCTCTCAGCTCCTTGCTCTTGGTTTTCACAGAATTCCATTATTTTAAAGTACGCTACATGGTCATACCTTCTTAGCTGAGGCAATCACCGCAAAGCAGGCAATAATTGAGAGCCCAATCATGATGTAACAGGCTTTCACTCGGGCTTTGTTTCTTGCCTTATCTATCATCTCTGGCCTGCAATTAAAATAGTTGAATTGAGTCATTAAAAAAGGCAAAGTATCTCTTCAAAGCATTGCAGACATAGCATCACAATTAAAAAAATATAGAATTAGCTTCTGAAACAAGAATCTTCAGCTTGCTGCGGGTAGTTATGTATCAGCCATTTTTTGATCCTAATCCGTTTCCCATGGCAAAGCAACATTTAGTGGATTTAGACTGTTTTTGGGGGTTTTTTTAAGCTGGGAAAAAATTCCTCAGGCAATAAATGTTTGCTTTTAATGCTTGGGATAAATACACCAGAAATCACACCTTAAACTCTATAAACATAGTGAAAATTGAGTGGGGTTATCTGTTTAAAACAGATGGGAGTTTACCATGTATATGTGGTGTTGGATGGAGTAAAAGTAAGTTCCCTTTATTCAAAGTTAACTTTAGAAATCAATTACTGCTATATCTAACCTGTTCAGATGGTGTTCTGTAGGCTAAGGACTTTACATCCTTGAATTGTTGATTAAAGCAGAGTTTGTACTACAATGAGTTAAAGGTTTTAGTTCTTTATTAAAGCAACAGCCTGACAGAAAGTGAGCAGCTGATGTCAGCCACCTCGCTATTTCAGGAACGCACACCTAAACAAGAACAATCTACAGGATTGTTTTTTCTGGTCATCAAAGGCAAAAATAGAGAAAACTGCTGTCCTCTGTTTGGCAGTAGTCAGTGCAAAGGAGGCATTTTACATCCCAGCAATCTGCTTTGGTACAGCTCCCATTTCCACCCTCCTCTCTTCTGAGCCAGCAGCATGGCCCTGGGGAACCAGCAATAGAGGAAATCATGAAAATTGTCCCAAAACCTTCAGCTAAGTTTTTCCAAGTCAAACATTATACTTTAGACTACAGTTTTTAAGATATTCATAATAATACTGGCTGTGCACCATTTTCCTTTCATAATTCGTCATGGAAATGCTTTATATATATATAGATAGATATATTTGTAAGATATAAGTACATGTTTTATACGTATGTATAAACCCAGAACTATGTGTGTAAAAATAATAGTTGCATAAATAATTGATTTTGTATTCTAAGTAAACATGTTGTAATGCTCTCTTTCCTTCAAAAAACCTTTACATTTACTTTAAAGAGTAACATGAGGCAGAGCTGGGGATTTGACAGTGCCTGTGAGAGCCTGGACCAAGGCGGGTGCTGCAGTGCTTTGCTCTAAGGTTTGGTGTGGTGGAAGAGGACGGGTCCCATGGGTGGCAGTGCTGTACCAGCCCCTCCTTGCCCGCGCACACCCGAGGGGCACGTTGAGCACACTCTGTTTCTTGCAGGTGACTAACAATGCCTGCAGTTCTAAGGAGCTGCTTCTGGTTTGTACAATGATAAAAATCATCTTCTAAACAAACTGCACATCAGACTGGCACGTAGGATCGTTAATCCAATAATCCATTTGTGGCAACAAAAGCAAAACCGTAAATGTTATTAGTCTGATGTATTAGCCTAATTATATTTCACAGTGCACTAATTGAAACTCCTCTGAGGCAGATTTTCACTTTCTCCCTGCTTTCTGCATCTGCTTTAAGGAAAACAGACAATGTTCTTCCCTAATTGCATATTAGGCTCTTTGCTATTCAGTCCTTAATCAAGACTCCAGGCAAACCTCTGCTGAAGTGAGCAACAGCCGGGGCTTTAAAAAAAATCCCAGAGAAACCACAACAGCCTTGAAAAAAGCCTGCAGATTTGTTTCATTTTACAAACAATGAAACAAATTGTACAATCTTCAGCAGTTAGGTTGTGTTCACACCTTGAAATTCTTCGTTTGATGAGTTAAAACAGTGCCACAGTTGAGCCTCAATTACTAACAATCAACTACTTCTAGTGTATTACTATTTACACTATTGTATAGTGAAGTATAGTCTTACAGTTCTAAAAATACTTTGCTCATCCAGAAAGCACAGTAGTAACACTCACCTGCCAGGCCAGAAAGGAGTGATTTTTGTGCATGTGTCTGTATGACTGACAAATGCCATGTCTTTATAAACATCTCCTGACAACTTGAATAGCGTTTACAGCTCCTGAGACATGTCTGAACCTTCCTCTAGAGGAAGATGGTGAAACTAACAGCGCAAGATAGGCTAAACTGTCCAGAAAGCCACTGTCCAGCTCAGCAAACTCCAGTGAAACTGTCAGGAACCAGCAATAGGCAGAGGATGTACCTGTTGCTTTACACAGCTCTGCATACTGTTTATTCTCCACATATCACCCAAGGCACGCACATACTGTGATGATAAAAAGTAGCGTCCTGGAGGGATGTCTAACATGCTAACATCCTAAGAAGAGCCTTAAACATTAGAGGGATTTCAGGTGTTTAGTGCCTGACTCGCTTAGGGGTTGCTAATTTTCAGCAAGTCAGAGAACTGTAGAGTCTGTGTGGTTTGGGTGGTAAGGGACTCTCATCATCTAGGATCAGCTAGTCCAGTGGGTCAGCAAGAATAGGAGACTAAGGCCATGTCAAGTGTTCAGTTTTCCTTGATGAGGGCTTCTTCTCTCATACCTCCTTCCCTATTTTTCCTCAAATTCTATAATAAAAAATATTTTATTATATATAGTCATTCAGTGACAGCTCCCTTAGAACAGTTTATGCAAACTATAAACAAAAAATATTGTTTACCAATAACATCCTTCTCTGATTGCACATTAGGACTAAGCAAAACAAACAAGCCAGTACATAAATGTAACCAAGGCTGTCTACTCAGATGGATCCGGTCTTAATCCCAGGCTCTAGGGACTCTAGCAAGGAACATTTTCTCATCTTAACCTCTAACCAGGACAGGAAATTCTCTTGCCCTCTATTTGTTTCCAAGTCTCAGTGTTGTAAAACCGATCGTTTTAAGCTCTGTGGAAAAGCCTTACATTTTCCACAGAATCAGGATCACAGCACTGCTTTCCCTTCAGCTCCATGTTACCCTTGGACAAGGCCAGCACACTTACGGGATCCTCAGAGGAATCTCTTCTTCTGTCTTGAAACGTCCGGTCCAGAGGAGGATTTTCTTGTCAAACTTAGAAGGTTTGCAACTTGCAACCACCCTGTGAGCCTGCTCAGCTTAAAGAGTAAGAAAAAAACCCCACTTTGTAAACCGTGCACTAAGAGAGAATTATGACTGACAGTAAGGTGTAGAAAGGAAAAACCCTACCCATTTTGGTTGTTTTAAGAGTAATTTAGGGATTAGATCTCCGCGTTTCGGCTACGCAGAGTCACCTCCGCGCCGTCTCTGGAATATCCCTGCACGTAGCGAGTATTTCTGCGGGTCTGATTCGGCCTCCCCTCCGCCCGCAGCTGTGGCCACCCAAACGAGCAGGAGAGCGCTCGGGACCACCCGAGCTGTGGTGTCACCATAGGGCCGCCCCACCGGGCAGCGCAGCCCCGCTCCGTCCCGGTCCCGGTCCCGAGCCGCCCGCCCGCGCATCTCCCCGTCAGCCCCGGGACGCAGCCTCTTCCCCCGGCCCGGCGGGCAGCCCCTTACCCCCTTACCGCGGGCGGTGCCCGGGCTCCGGGCGGGATCCCCGGCGGTCGCGGCTCCCCTCGGCGCGGGCGGGCGGAGCGGCGCGGCGGACAGCAGCCGCCCCGGGCGGAGGCGCGCCGGCAGCATGGCCAGGGTGGCGGGGAGCGGCGGGACCCTCTACTGCAGCCGGACCCTCTGCCGCAGCCGGACCCTCTGCCTCGGCCGGACCCTCTGCCTCGGCAGAACCCTGTGCCGCAGCCGGACCCTCTGCCGCAGCCGGACCCTCTGTCACAGCCGGACCCTCTGCCGCGGCGGGAGCGACTCCAGCCCCGCCCGGCCCCCGCCCCGCCCGGCCCCCGCCCCGCCCCACCCCGCCCCGCCCCACCCCGCCCCGCGAACCCTTCCAGCCAACCCTTCCTTGTCGCCGACACCCGGCGAGATCGGTCCTCCCGAAAAGGCATCGTGTTCGCTTACTACACTCACGGATTGCAGCTCAAGTGAAGAAAGGTCGCCGTCCGAGACAAAACTCAGCTAAGGAAACAGACGCGGTAGTTCAGGTTCATGTTAGGACGTGCACCTGCTGGAGCGAGTCCTGAGGAGGGCCACAAGAACAAGAGACCAGGAGCACCTCTCCCGTGAAGACAGGCTGGGAGAGCTGGGGTTGTTTAGCCTGAAGAAGAGAAGGTTCCAGGGAGACCTTAAAGCACCTTCCAGCGCCTAACGATGGCCCACAAGAAAGATGGAGAAGAGCTTTTTACAAGGGCATGCAGCGATTCCTATATTCCCATTACAAGAAGCAATGGCTTTAAACTGAATCAGAATGGGTTTAGAATAGGAAGAAATTCTTTCCTGTGAGGTTGATGAGACACTGGCACAGGTTGCTCAGAGAGGTTGTGGATGCTGCATCCCTGGAAGGTTTGATGGGGCTTTGAGCAACCTGGTCTAGTGGAAGGTGTTTCTGCCCATGGCAACTAGATGATCTTTAAGGTTCCCTTCCAACACAAACCATTTTATGATACTAGGTAGAGTATAAGTACTGCGACACAAACCTGCCCACATCTGCGTTTCTGTCATTTTACTGCTTTCATGCTCAAATATACTGATTCTCATCATAGGCTTTTCCATCTACTTAAACTGGAAAAAAAAAATTGTTGGTTTTTCTTTTCACATCCTGGACAGAGTTTGATTAAAAAACAAAACAAAAACAAAACAAGCAAGCAAAAAACAACCAAAAAACCCCTCCAAAATAAAACAAAGAAACAAACCATAAAAAAAATTCAGAGAAACCAGCACAGAATAGACATTTACTAAGTGACAGCCTGTGTCAGCGTGATATTCATGACAGTTTAAGACTGTCTCAACACAGCTGTGTCTGATGCACCAAGCAGTGGAAGATTTTACATGCATCAGCCAAAGCATCAGCCAAAGCCAGAATAGCTGCAGATGAACAGAGGAAGTCCCACTCTCCAGGGAAAGATCATTGTCTGGCAACAGCCTAAGTCCTGTGCTCGGTGTGACAGCCCAAAAGAGGAGTTTTGAACTATTTGTAGCCAAAACCTCCAGCTATCTTTTCTTCAGGAGCAAGAAAAAAGAAAAAAGAAAAAAAAAGAAAAAGGAGGAGATGCACCTCTTTACATGCACACTCACTCCTTGAGCAGCTGTGCCCTCTTTCAGAATGTTGTCAAGGAGATGAAGACACATCAACAGAAATGACCTAGAGGATGATACTTTACCTTTGCTCAAGGAGAGTGGCATAGTGTGACTATGTCAAGCAGTGCTCCTTGTCCCTGAAGACACAGCTGGGAAGGGTAGGAAGAGTCAGCACATCTGGGCTGGGCTCAGTGTCCCAGAGCAGCGTCCCAGACACAGCTATCAGCTGCCCCTCCTGACAGTCACCCACACATTTTAGAGTTCCAATGGCCGTCAGCAGAGCTGCTGGGAGGGAGCCTGGAGTTCACATAGTTTCCAGAACTCACCAAAGAACTGCTCTAAGGAATGTGGGCAGCTGAAAGGCATCTACACAGCCAGAGCTACTGAAATCTTGAGGGAATTATGCTCTGGAGAAAAGGACTTCAAACACTTGGTGGCCTTCATGGTCTTCGTTCTCCCTGGAGATATTCTATATTGTATGATAGTGGCTTCAGAATGCATCATTTAGCATTATTAACATTATTATGGATGACATAAGCCCTAAAAAGGTTAAATAATGTTTACATCCAGAGCAGCCTCCTGCTGACCTTAACAAACTGGATTTTCCCATTTGATTTCTCTGTGAACAGCACTGTATTTGGAGATATTTGTTCTCTCTATTGCTCTCAAAGATGGGAAATGTGCCTGTGGGATGTTAGTGCTTTGAGAAGTTTTTGGAAAGACCCTGAAACCTTTCAAAGGTTTCAAATCTTTCCAAAGTAAGCAAGCAGAGTGTGCTCTAGGCCAGAAAAAAGAGTTGGTCCCTTTGGCCTCACTTGGCCTGACCTATGGGCCTTGGCTCTGGGAGCACCAGGGTAAGACTTGGCTATGACTCTGGAAGGTGATTCCTGTACTGGGCTCTGGGGATGAAAATCTGTTTCAGGCTCATTTAATGTCCCCATGACTGACAAGAGGAATAGTTAGATTGCCTGAATACTTACTGCCCTGGGCAGGAGAATGTGCACAAAGGCTACTTTGGCATAATAAACTCCTATTTTAAGCTTTTTCATATCCTCTGTGTAAGGTAGCACAATCCCTTTATGTTCTAGCTACGTTTATGATCACTTTCTTCTTACAGACAAGGCATTTAAAACCATGTAGTACATCTTGGTATAAAGTCTCTTTTTTGCTGTCAAGCCAAGCTCCCAAACCTGTTACATCCTCTCTGCTCCACCATGGACTGTGCTTCGTACAGAAGACCTGGAGAATTAGAAGGAGCATGTAAGGCCCCTTGAAACTCTGCCATATGCGATGTCCTTTCTTAGAGATACCTTGGTAGAGACCTTCACACTGCTGTCACCAGGCCCTGTTCATCAACACATTCTCCTCATTGTCCTGCAGGAGGAACCCCTGACCACACACAGCTTTCAATCTAAAGTATGTTTCTAAGCAGGCTGAGGTCAACAGTGGAAACAACCTTACAGGTGTGTGTTTTGCTGTTGTTCAAGGCCAAACAGAAGCTCATGGGGTGAGGTAAGAAATTAAGTAAGCAAACTCAATTTCAAACATGAATATGGCTTTAATCATTCCCTTTCATATAGCTTCAAGGCATGCTACACTGAACACTTTTGAAAACAGTAAATACAGGTACAACATTCCAGCCAAATTAACTTTTCTAACCAGCTATTTGCTGACAGTTGTGCACTGTAAGCTTTGCTTCTCTCTTTTAGGGGAAGGCTTCACACTGCAGGCATTTTAACCTTATCATACATAACCTCATACGCAGAAAAGTATTTGCAACAACTGAAGTATAAATAGCATTCAGCATACAAATATATACACATAAACCTTCATTCCTACAACCAGCAACAGAACATATGTATTTACACAAGTCCGTATGTGAATTGCACTCTTGCCTTTCAAATTACTTTAAAATACCTTAATAGATACACAATAAAAAGGATTTAGTATTATTTTATAGCAACATGGCACAGAACTTAAGTAACAAAGTTTCTATGTTCTGGGCTTTATGAATATGGAAAAGTATTTTCCTGCTACTGTATCGAAAATGTAGTTCTGCTGTTTAAGCTCTGTCTGAAAAAGCTCTGTGGTACCATTATCCTGACAGAAAAATTCTTCCTCCTCTGAATGTGCCCTTTCCCTGTCATACAGAAGGCACAGCACAACTGTGCTCAAGGAGCTACAGAGCAGAGTCTCATTCAGTGCAGATCATGCCAGGTCATCCTTGTGGTATTGCTGTGTATCCTAACGGTGCATTGTCATGTTCTTATTGAAAATAACATTTATTAAAATATATGTCAACTCCTATAAATTTTCCAGGATGCCCTCATGCTGATACTGGTCATTACATTATTTATGCTAATGAGAGGAATCAATTGGTGGTTCTAGGTTTTGACATTACACATTGACTTTACACTCTCAAATAAAAGGACACCTGGGGATCACTCTCCTCGTGCATCACAGGAGGTGCATGAGGTGAATCAATGTGTCTCTCCTGAGCATGGGGAAAAAAGGCAGATGAACATATGTATAACTACAGAGCTCCAGCAGAACTCTCTAATTTCTTTATAGCTCTGTCTCTAGTTCATTACCATGAAGGTAAACACAAGAAAACTTAAATGTTACTACAGTACTCATCTGGAATAATTAGCGCAATTTTGGGGAGGAAAAAAAAAGATTCATTTATACCAGATGAAAAGAGTTACTTTTGGAAGTTCAGAAGACTGGAAAGCCTATCTTAAAAGTGGAGACTAAAGGACTGGACTTGTTTATCTGGGCAAACAAAGGCTGGGGACAAGGTTCTCTTTGATGTGTAAAATGGGGCCAAGATGAGAAGAAGAGCTCCTTAAACAACTGAGCATCAAAGAGGCGAAAGAAGTGGGGAAACTCATGAGGTCCCACTTACATGACTGTGAGAAATAATTTGTGATGCTTCTGCCTCACTTGAGGAAGGGAGGTTGCAGAATAGGTTCCCACAGGTCTATATAGGCTGGATGGGGAAGGAAGGGAGCTGCTGAAGGGGACTGCACATCAGCGAGTTTGCAGGAGCAAGGGACGGACTCTGTGAGTCAGGAAAGCCTTTCAGATCTGGTAATGGATAACTGCCTAAGTACAGGAAAAGGTGTTTAACATGGCCTGCCCTCCTTGCAGACAGCAAAAGGAAAGAGATCTGAAAGACAAATGGCTCCCTAAAATGGCTTTTTAACTTCTGGTACTTTAACATTGGCCAGTCATATGCTGGAGACTCTCTTCCTGACCATAGTCCTTGCAGCATTTTGAGGAAGAACTTTTCCTTTTATTAGTGACTGCCCAGGCACTTGGAAATGGCAGTTTCCATTCACAGAGTCGTTCTCAGTTTTACACGAGTCTGTGACAGTGGCTCGGAAGCTGGAAGATTTTGAATCTAGAGAAGCCTGACTAACAGCAACGCTGCCTGCACTCTTAGAGGAGTACGTGTAAACCATTTTGAGAAAGGCAGATTTTGTGTTTGTTTCTTG